TCTCTCTCTCTCTCTCTCTCTCTCTCTCCCTCTCTCTCTCCCCCTCTCCCTTTCTCTCTGTCTGTCTGACTGAATTGTTCTCGCGCACCAACATTGTTGGTGTTTGCGGATGAGGCTGCGCGCGCTTCATCTGCGAGTGTTTGTAGTCTGTCAGATGTCGTGTCGTCACGTCTGGAGTCGCGGGGTGAAATGTAACTTTACTCTATCCATCTACATGTGCGCGAGACTTCAGATCAACACCGAACCCAGCATGGGATTATTAAACGCAGCGGGAAGTCAACAAAGTCCGAGAAGAAACATCAAAGGCTCGGTCTAACCAACTTCTGAGAGGAAAAAAGGACATTTTGGACCGTGTGTTCCGGGTTTTCGCGCTGACATCATCTCGATTTGTCAACCAAAGTGACTTGTAGAAAGTTGGAGTGTTCTTGCGTTTGCGCACGCATGGACTTGTTTGTTTTTTTGTAATTGAATAGAAGGAAGTAGAGCTGAGGTCTCTCTAATGCAATGACTACTAACTACAGAGAGGAGCTGGACTTCAGACTGATGTTCGGGGAGAGCAGTTACACTCAGCTGCCGGGCCACCCAGGTTTGTACGTTACTTTCAGGGTAACTTACGCTCCGATCTCAACGCTCCGATTATAATCAATGAAGTGCGTGCAAGCGCGCGCGGGTAAAATGGGAGCGATGAAGTTGCGTGTCTGCGTCGAGAGTGCTTTGCAGAAGTGGCCATGTTTGGATCTGTTATGAATAATTGAAACGATTTGTGTTTCTAAATACTAAAAGTCACTTCCTTATCTTGCAAGATCTACTGCAGTAGTTGGTGTAGTTGACGCGCATAAAGAGGAAGGTCAAAGTCTAATCATGCGAAACATATTTTTAAAACGTATGCATACTTTTTCTGTGTGCATGAGCATAATTTCGCAGTTTTCGTGGATGGTAAACAAATAACAGCAGTAGAACTAAAACTGCTGTGATTGGTGTTGTATAGACCTATAGTATTGTTGTTGTTGTTATTATTATTGGCACTGTAATCATGTTACTGTAGGCCTACTTCCTAAGTTATACTGTCCACTGTAATCCTTCTTCCTCCATCTGTAGGTGAACCTGACTGATATCATGGTTAAACTCACAGTAAATCACCTGTCAAGTTTTTATTGCTGGGCATTTGACTGTTGAAGCTTGAGTGCATTGAGGATCTATAACATTATATTAGACTGATAGTGTTATCAGTGTGACAGCATCCCTAGCTCGTGTGTGTGTGTGATATTTATGGTTAGCTACTGTTGCACTTCTTGCAGCTGTCAGTTTGCTCGTGTGTCTGAATGAGCCATAAGAGCATCTCTCGAAATGTATTTGCTCAAGTACCAACAGTATGCCAAGGACGTAACCTATGCGGCCTCACTATGGTGGAGATTTCTTCACGCTCTTGGGAACATCATTTCTTTGGTTTGTTGTTTGTGTGAAGGGTTATTTATAAAATGTGTACATTTTGCAGTACGACGTCACTGACATAACAGCCTACTGGATTGTATTTGTCTCTCCTAAAAAATAAATCAAAAATAACATGTACACGATTCATCAGTGCACATTATCGTGGGGGGAAAAAATCATAAGCTTTCAAGTAGCTTCATCTCGTGTGTAGTCACAGGATAAGGTTAACCAAGGTGGACACCACTGACTTGATGGCCAGGCATTTGGCACAAAGGAAAACTTCACAGAGTAGGGGAGTCTGGAGTTGGATGAGTTCTTATCTCCTCTGCAGATCACTATGGCGTATGTCCTAATATAATAAGCCATTTTAGAAATACAAGCAACTCCCAATGGACAAAAGCAAGCCACACCTCATTATAAAAATGAGGGGAAATAAATCACTTTATGTAAACAGAGTCTGTGCCCATCATGCACTACGTGACTTCTTGTAAAACAAAACAAAAAAAATCTGCGGACTCGCTCTGACTTTCACCAGATAATGTCCAGAATGCAAATCAAGGCAAAAATCTACGCAAAAGTCTGTAGTGTATTCCCACCTTAAGTAAAATGACATATGGCATGAGCCAGGATAGGCGTATTAAGTGGTCTTGTGTTAAAAATAACCTTTTCCCTGTTACTCTAGAATCCAGATCCGATGATGATGCCACCTGCTACCCTCTCTTTCCTCCTGGGCCTCACCATCCCACAGAAAAGCAGGAGAGCTGTACAAACCCATCTTATGGCACCCCTCACCCTGGTTCCCTCCAACCCATGGAGTCTCCCAGCCGGGTATTTGACTGTCCTAGCATCCAAATCACCTCTATCCCAGCCAACTGCCACCAGGACCTGGGCGCGCACCAGTTGGACCAGTCTGCAGGTGCTTGTGGGGAAGCCAGTGCTGGGTCTCTGTCAAGGGACCAGCTCTTCCTGCCATTGGATGCATCATATAGGGACACGTCCTCACTGTGTCCCAGCCCCTGCAGTAGTTTGTCCTCCCGCAGCTGGTTGTCTGACGCCTCATCCTGTGAATCCTTCTCACACATCTACGATGACGTGGAGGCAGAATTGAATGAGGCAGCCGCTCAAGTTCGGCTGGCTTCTCCTCTAGTGTCGCCACTGGTGTCTCCTCTGCTGTCCCCACTTACTTCTCCCCAGGCGTCTCCTCAAGTGTCTCCGCTTGTCTCTCCCTTTGGTTCTCCGGGATGTATGGCTGCATATGGAGATGATCCTTGGTACCGTTACCAACAACATCATCAGCAACCTCTACAATACCATTGCGCCCAATCGCTGTCGCCGTATCAGTCACCCCGCACCAGCATCACTGAGGAAACGTGGCTCAGTCCCCGTCCACACTCCTCATCCTCGCGGCCCTCTTCTCGGCCAACCTCGCCATGTGGAAAAAGGCGACATTCCAGTGCAGAGGTCATTCCCGGTTCGGCATCTCCTCACCTTTCCCCCAACATAACACCATCTCATTCTCCTCGGGGGAGTGTCACTGAGGAAACATGGATGGGAGGCGCCACATTTGCTCCCTACCAGACCTTTCCATTGGAGGTAGACATCCCATCCAAAACAAGAAGAACGTATCAGACCAACCACAACCAGGATCAAGTGGCTCTGTTGCCTGGACAAGAGGACTCAAGTCTTCAAGACCCAGGTCTTGCAAATCCATCGCTAAACTCAGGCATAACCATGTCCCTCCCCAGTTTAAAGAAAGAGGATATGGTGGAACATTTCTTAGCCGTCCCAACACACTTCCCTTGGGTTAAGCCCAAACAAGTCAGCACTCCTTTATACAGGTAAATTGCATGTACACATATGACCCAATTGTTCACCTTTTGGTTTTGAACAAGTGCTGGTTACATAATAGTTTTTGGCCTTGTTGTTCCATCATTTATGAACCTGTTAGGGCTATAACAATGGGTGTCCTGTTTCACTGGCCAGTGCTCAAAAATAACAGCCACACTTGTTACAGCCACTGCCGTTTCTTTTTCTTACTCAGGTCCACATCTTTACCTCCGCTGGACTGCCCTCTGCCCAGTCAGTGTGGCCAGTGTGAGTTAAAGATGGAGATCCAACCTAAACCTCACCACAGAGCCCATTATGAGACGGAGGGCAGTCGCGGGGCCATTAAATCAGACTGCGGAAGACACCCTGTTGTTAAGGTCAGAGTTTGCACCAGATCTCAGATTAGCCAGTTATGAAATCCCCCACAGTTGAAGAAGGTTCGTCTAAAAAATGGGAGTGAAAAACCTGTTTGGAAACAGTCATTTTTGCAATTCCATTTGGTGGTGCCATTAGTGAATTGTAAATGAAATTTCTTACATTTGATTTATTGATCATGATTAATTATTGATGGAGTATTTCATCCATCATTACCTACTTTTCTATGTCGTTTTTGTTCATCACACAGCGCGCCGACTGTAGAGTGCACATTTTGTTCACTGAACTTGCACAGCAGTTTTCATTGTTCTGATAAATTGAGAAAGGTTAGGTTCCATACCTAAAGGTTTGTTGCTCATCTGACATCTGCTCTAGCACAAGACAAAAGTACCAGATTATTGTTCGGGTGTATTTAATAATTTATATTAATATTATAATATTAATTTGTATGGGATTGGATAGTTTAGATATTACTGGATTAATAATACTTGAATTTACCTATGAGAGAAGGAGAGCTACAGTGGGGAAAAAAAGTATTTAGTCAGCCACCAATTGTGCAAGTTCTCCCACTTAAAAAGATGAGAGAGGCCTGTAATTTTCATCATAGGTATACCTCAACTATGAGAGACAAAATGAGAAAAAAAAAACCCGTCAGCCTGCAGATGTTCATCGGGACAGCGGATGAGCGTTACCCTAGGCCACACCCATTCTATCAAGTGCACAGGATTACTGGGAAAACCGTAGCGACGCCGAGTCAAGAGACAGTGATATCCAGCACCAAAGTTCTCGAAATTCCTCTCCTGCCTGAAAACAACATGTGTACCAGGTACCTGTCAAACAAACCTCTGATTTACATGCACCCATTCCTGCATGCATTGTAGAGAGAGCTTTTTTTGCATAAATTATGTATTGACATGGCTGACTGTTTAGTCTTTATATCAAGAAGAAGGCAGCTCTGAATGGAAAACATGTGACATTCAGAGCCGTTTTAAAGGTACAATCGTTATTTTTCCCCCTTCATTTTTTGATTTACACACTAGTTAGAACCCTAATTAAAGCTGATTTATTTTACATGGAGTGAATTACATCGTGGAAACCGACTTGTTGAGATCACATAAATCATTGTATCTTGGCACCCACATTATTATCCGACATTTTTGCTAACGGAATAAATCAATCATGGCTGAGAATAGAACAATGGCTTTGGTAATAAACAAAAACTACTGCTTTTCCGTTATGATACATCCAC